TATATTCACGAAAGCAGATTCATTTTCGCTATTTAATGCACAGATTACATATACACTCTGAACAACAAGTCGTACGGGAATGAGTAGGTTGGAAATATGGTGATGGACATCAAAAGTGGGGTGTCGTGCAGCGTCATTGTCCTTGCCCCGCATTCGTCATGACCAGCATCACATTTGCAAAACGATGACCCCAGTGGTTGTAATGTCAAAGGTTGCACAAATGGCTGCTCTGGCTATATATTGCCTGCTTGACCACGAAACACCCAATTCCCACTTTTCTTTGAATTCAGAAAACTACTCCAACTACATCACTACATACAATTGAAAATCATGGGCAAAGATCACCCTGATGCGGACCTTCATCCAGAGGCTACAGGCCTGGCGGCAGTGACAGTCAAGGTAGGTTGATAACAAATATCATCCCCAAATCACAACCCTAACCTCACCCAGGCTCACTCAGCCGAGTGTCCTCTGAAGCTCTACTCGGGCTGGTTTTGCCCCTTTGTCCAGCGTGTATGGATTGCCCTTGAGGAAAAAGGCATCCAATATCAATACATTGAAGTCAACCCATATCACAAGCCACAGTCTCTGCTTGATCTCAATCCTCGCGGCCTTGTTCCTACACTGCAATACCAGGGGAAGCCGCTGTATGAGAGCACTGTTCTTTGCGAGTTTCTCGAGGAAGCATTCCCGCAGCACACTCCGCACTTGATGCCTACGGATCCCTATGAGCGTGCAAGAACAAGGATCTGGACAGATTATGTAGGCAGCCGCATCATCCCTGCGTACCACCGCTTCCTCCAGCATCAAGGCGATGGGCTCGAAGAAAAGCAAAAGGAATTCATGAATCACGTCAAGGAGTTCACGCGGGAGATGGACAAAGAAGGACCGTTTTTCTCAGGCAAGGAATTCGGACTCATTGACATTGTGATTGCGCCCTGGGCCAACAGGCTATGGGTCTTTGATCACTTCAAAGGGGGTTCGGGTATTCCTGACGAGGGCAAGGGCGAAGAGGATGAGGAGGTATGGAAGAGATTCAGGAAGTGGCTCGCTGCTGTTGAGGCTAGGAAAAGTGTCAAGGAAACGTTGAGCGACAGGCAGCACTATTTGCCCATATATCAGAGATATGCAGAGGACCAGGCCCAGAGCGAGGCTGCAAAAGCAATTCGGGCTGGCAGGGGCATTCCCTAGGTATCAAGAATACTGTCGTATGTAGATGGAAAGGGGTAATGGTAAACGTATGTCTATGGTGACGCTAGGCGCAGAGGAGTGGTAATTAGTCTTTATGGATTGCATCGTGATGGAGAGCCGATGCAGCATTCAGCTGGATGAGTGACGTCAAGCCGAGGGAAGCCGAGATGGTGTTTGGAAACGTTGATGTTGCCCCAGCGACGATATTGACAATGGGGGGATCCACAACAACGCCACAACCGGCTAAGCGTGAACGCATCTACCTTTGAATCCACCCTCAACTCCCTTGGGCACGACGACAACCCTCTACCTATGCGCCGGCGCTCTTTTTATTCGAATTAATTCATACTTACATAGCAGCCGCCGACATGTACGGGTACACCGCAGGCACGCCATGCCCGGCGCCCTACGGGTCAACAAGCAGCTACTACCCTGGCTACGGAAGCCAATACGCGCCTAGCTATCTTGACGACGACAACACTACCACAAATATCGAATACACAACCGAGTTAAAGGCGGCCGCTCGCCAGGCGAAGCCCCGAAGACCCATGCGCAATGCCACTAAGCCTGCGTTCAACCCATCGCTAGACATTTTCGAGGATGTCGCACAGGAGGAGGAACAGCAACAGCGTGCAGCTTTCGAAGTGAAAAGGAGGAGTCGCGCCAGCGTTGTTCCCGCGGCCACAAAGACAAAGAAGAGCACGATTCTCGCCCATCCAGCACAGAAGATGCCCAAGCCTATAGCGCCTGTCCCCGAACCACAACACGAGAAGCCCGCCCGACGACGCGTGTCGCACATGCCAAGTGAAGATTATGCCGCCGAAGTTAATGCCACTATACAGCTGCAGGAAGACATTTTGGATAAGAAAGAGCTCAAGAAGCAGGGCCCTAAGAAAGAAGCACGCAGGAGGACGATATACATCCCAACTGACGACACGTCCTTGTTTACAATCCATCCAGGACAGCCCACACATGCGCCGCGCAACGCTCGGGAAGCATCCCCAAATCTTGGACTGGATCTTGTCACACTATCGGAAGAGGAGGGAAACAATCTTTTACCGGCTTTGAAGAAGGAAAAGAAAGTCCCTCGCAAGTCGCTCGCCGCGCCACCAAAACGCGGTCCTCTCAGCACAACATCGCGGTCGACGCAGAGTACATCTTTTTCGAGCGATATCGCAGGTTCAGGCGGTGGCAAGGAGAACATGCCACCGGGCATGGCTGTATATGAGAAGAAGGGCAGTGGAACGCACATTGAAATCAACTTCATTAAGCCAGAGGTGAAGAAGACTCTGCCAAAAGCCCCCAAGGTCCATTTCAGCGCAACCAAAGAGCCGGAGAGGATATTGCAGACTAAGAAACGGACTGAAGGAACGCAAAAGCGGCCACGATCGAATGTGGGTCACGACGATGTTCCAGTAAAGGCACTCAAATCGCGAGCGGATGTCACTGCCTCCACTGCAAATAGCAGTGCGTCTTTGAGATCAACTATCAAGACTGAACGAGCAAAGCTGGCCAAGGCGAAGCGCGCACCGCTGTCTTCGTCGCCGTTCCATACCGACAAGTCCCCGCCCACAGCATTACGGCGACAGAAGACTGGGAGTGTAGCAAGCAGCATTACCATGCTTCATGAAGTTGGCAAGCAGCCACAGCCGCAGGAAAAATACCCAGTACTACGCGAGGATCTTGTTCAGCCAGAACTATACGAGGACAACTGGCTCACCTACCAAGAAGTTGCCATTACACAGCTTCTAAACTCGGTATTTGACTCGGCAAACAAGGACCCGAATGCTGAACAGACTCTGGAAGATTTGCGCAAGAAGATGCTTGCCATCTATCACGACTCTGCCATGCCGCCCCTGCACAAGCGTCTGCAGGCTTCGCTACAGTGTGGCGCGTTGAGCATACCCAAGGATCTTTTGGCCCAGACACTGAGGTTGAAGGATGATGTTGGTCTGCGGAAGAAGTTCCTCAACTTGTGGACAAAGTCGTACGATCTGAATGCACTGCGAGCTGCAGCCGAGACGATTGTTGGCCGCCAAATCACCACACCATGCCGCTTGTCTACCGGTTCCACTTGCTCGGACGATGGATCTCGCCAATATCGCGCTGAACGCCGTGCGATCGAGAGCTTCTTATCTGCATTTTTTATCAAGAACGAAGACGCGGTTCGCGTCAAATCTGGAGGCGGTAGCATTGCTAGTCTCACACGTGGTGACGACGATTTTGGATCGCAGGGCTGGTCGTGGCGCCGTACCGCACTGCGAAGTCTGATGTTGATCCTTCTTCTCGACCAGGCAAAGACCAACAATGCCTTGTCGGGCTGCTTGTTCCAAACGACATCACCATACAAGACGTCTGTGGAGATCCTGCATCAGCTGTCTAAGATGCTTCTCCCTTCGCATGGCGACATTACCCGGCCGCTCCACCATCTCAACTACAAGGTCGAGCATGCTCAATACCCGCTTCAGGAGTACACGTATCAAATTGAGAACATCGCCATCGACCTTCGCGATGGCATCATGCTCAATCATCTGGTGGAGTTGCTACTTTACCCAGCACAGCAGGAAGAAACTGTGACACTCAACCTGCCAACCGGCGAGCTGCTGACCAGCGATGTGTCACAAAAGGATGCCTGGATTTTATCCCAGCATCTCAAATACCCAGCTATTGGCCGTCCACAAAAGGTGTACAACGTACAGATTGCCCTTGCAGCCTTGAGCAGTGTCCCAGGAATGCCCAGCGCAGCAGTCAGCGGTATTCGAGCCGAAGACATTGTCGACGGCCATCGCGAAAAGACTCTCTCCATGCTATGGTCGCTTGTCGGAAAATGTGGACTAGGAAGCCTCGTCGACTGGCCGCAGCTAGTCAAGGAGACTGAGCGTTTCCGCAACCAATGGTACCGAGCAAGAGACAACTTTGAGGGACAAGTCCTCGATTCCGACAACGAAGAACCAGAAACGACTGAGCTGGACGGAATGGCATATCACAAGCGCCTTCTCCTCTCCTGGTCTCGCTCCGTCGCCCGCCTCCATGGCCTCCGCGTAGTGAACCTAACAACGAGTTTCGCAGACCCAAAAGTACTTGAGGTCATCGTCGATACATATCTGCCTTCCAACCTCACCAGCTCCATCCCAGATGGCGGGAGGCTAGGTCTGGGCGCAAAGCTCAAAGCAGTCGGCTGCTCAGCTTCCTTCACCGCACTCTTCACTTGCCAAGACAAAACCGCTCGCTCAATCCCTAGCCGCGATTTCACCCTCCTAACCCTCTCTTTCCTCGCTTCCCGTCTCCTCCCCCTCGCTCGCACCCACCGCGCCGCAACAACGATCCAGACTGCATTCCGCCGCTTCCTGCTCCGCCGCCAGACCAGCGCGCGCATAAAGGCTATGCAAATTGCACATGAATCGGCGGCCGTTGCGCAGGCAAGACAGAAAATGGTGGATGCCGCGACGGTTATTCAGCGGCGCTGGAGGGATATCCATGAGGAGAGACGCAGGCAGTTAGAAAGCGATGTCCTGGCTTTCCAGGCGTTGGCCAGGGGTTGGGCGATTAGGAGGTGGGCTAGGCGCGTTACGGCGGGGAGAGTTGGGGGGAAGGAGAAGGTGAGGAGGGTGAGGGGTGGGTGGTAGAAGGTTAATGGAGAGTGCGGGAGAAGAGGCGGGGAATATAATGTTTAACGATAGGATGGTGTTGGTGTTTGGGTTTGTTTTCTCCTTCGGTTTTCTTGGACGGATGGGCTGTTCATGGTCTTTCTGGGAAGATTTTCTTTCTGACTGAACTCGGACGGGAGTTTTCTTTCTTACGACGACAGTTGTAATGCCCCCCCTTTTCACGTGTGTATATTTTCTACCACGCTCGTTTGATATCCACATACTCAGGCCGGTTTATTCAATTGTTTCCTTTCTGCTTCACATGCTTGATCTGACGCTTGAATGAATATGTGCATGGTAACTGACATAATTCGTACGTGTGTATATGACGTTTGAATAATGTGAATCACAACATCTGCCAATCCTTGTCCAACTCGTTTTGGGGTGATGTAGGGCTCACGGTCGCATCAGTCCAATCGCCATCAACACTGTCTTCTCTTCCTTGTTCCTCCTTCTCCTTCTTATCTTCTTCTTCTTCGTCATCACCCTTCTCCTTCTTATCTTCTTCTTCGTCATCACCCTTCTCCTTCTTATCTTCTCCATTATCATCCCCTTCCTCCATCCCCTCTTTTTCTTTATCCCGCTCACTTGGTTCTACAACCTCGGACCTATGCTCATCAGTCTCACATTTCTGTGGCGGTTCACTGGCCGTCTGGAGCGGAGGCGGCCGACGTGCCATGGCCATCATAGTTTCCGAGAATAAACCAGGATCGTCGTACTCTGTCATCTCCCTGCTGCAGCAATCATCGACGACTACTATGATCTTGATGTCTCTGCTGTGAAGGAGTTTGCTGAACTCGCTTGCTGCGCTGCATAATTGCATCCCATTTGAGCAGACAAGGAGGTAGAGTTTTTCAAATTCTGGGGCTTGTTGTACAAGATACTCGGCGAGGTCTGTGTATGCTCTTCGCGTAGCCTCGGCAGAAGAGTCTTCCTCGTAAGGCTGGATGAGCAGACATAGACTTGAAATGTGTTTTCGAGCAGCGGGCGTCAGAGTCTCCAGCCATTTTTGTGTGGCGTATGCCTGGTATCTTCCGCGGGGGCAGGGTCCTGTCAGGAAGAGAAAATTTTGGCCTTGATACACGGATGGATCTGCATCAGGGTGGATTTGGCTGCGTCGGGCTTTTTCTTCCTCTGTAGCCGGTCGTAACATGTTGATGGGTCCATGGGGGGCTTCCAATACCCATAGATCTTCTTTCGCCGTCTTGAAGCGAACTTCGGGTTCTATGCACTTCAATCGAGTGTATATGTGACCCGGCTCGGTATCTTTCTGCGGAGAGAGGTCTGTTCTTTGGCAATGGCAGATGTCAATCTGTGTCAGTCCTGCAAATGTGGTATTGCTGGGATTTTGTAGATGTGGCCAGTCCAAGGCATAGTTGATCGTCGTAACATGGTCTGGCAGTATTGGTCTTTCCGCACATGGAAACATGGTAAATGCTGTCTCTTTGTATATACTGAATGGTCAGCCCCACCCGGTGAGGTTGAGTACGGACTGCCCTGTACCGGCTCACTTCCTTGCTATGTCGTCAACTCGCCCAGCACGGGCTTGATAATAAAGCATGATGCATACCGCTCTTTTTGGAAGACTGACAGGCCAAGGCCGTGGAACGCAAGAGACGGAGGCAGACGGCGAGACGATGGTGTGGTGTTGATGCGTGGATAAGCTAAGGGCAGCGAACGTCATTGGCAGCAGGCCCATGCACAGCGTACCTACCTAGTAGATAAGCGTCACGATGCACCGCGGCGGCATGCAACCCCGAATCATCGCGTCATGTGTGGAAAGGTAACACGGTCCTGTACTGCTGTCTAGATGCCCGCCCACCACCATCTTGATGGACGAGACTGGCAGCGCTGAGCCCCAGACGCCAACCTCTGAGGGACCCGGCTCGCCTACTACGCCCACGCAAAAGAGCAGCAATGCATCGGCCGCATCCGCCAGGGGGGATTCAGTAGAATCGCACGACTTTCCCAACCCGACTCTGACCGTAATACGAGGCTTTTCGCGCAAGAATTCGACTGCATCGCTGGCATCACAAGATGTACCGCCGCCCCCACTGCCACCGCGACCGGCCATGGGGCTGCTATCGCGACCCTCGACGTCGCACTCGATGGCGCCTTCAAGACCGCAGCTCCTTTCCAAGGCTACTACTCAGCTGTCCATCGCCAACACGCAGGCCTTTGCTGCCGACCCCAAAGATGCCTCGCCGACGTCTACAGCGCCCAGGTCGCGCAACTTTGGGAGCATCAGCATGGCCACTCGCAATATCAACGATGCCGACGACGGCGCAAGCATACGCAGCTATGCGCCTACAATCGAGGCGGGAGGATACCAGGAGAGCATACTGGGCGAAATCATGGGCCCAACAGAAAAGTCGGAGCAGGAAGAGTCGCTCCTGCGGTCTCTAGGGCAGAAGTTTGCCGACGCAGAGTCGCAAAGCATGTTCCCACCAGATCCAGACTTTGAAGCTGCTTTCAGTCGCGAGTTTGACGACATTGACGGCTTAAACGCTGACGGTTCAAACGAAGGTGAGCTTCACGCTGTAGGTCAAAAGGTGATATTTTTCTGACCGAGGCAACAGAAACGATTATGCTCCAATGGCGCGCAAAACTCAAGCATTTCCTCATCCTCTCCAGTGCCGGCAAGCCCATATACAGTCGCCACGGCGACGACCAATTGATTACAAACTATATTGGCGTTGTACAGACCATTATATCCTTCTACCAGTCCACTCACGATACTCTCCGAGGCTTCACTGCCGGTGATGTACGCTTCGTCGTCATGACCAAGGGCCCGCTCAATCTGGTCGCCATTACGCGGTTGGCAGAGAGCGATGCTCAGCTTCGCTCACAGCTCGAGGCACTCTACATGCAGATTCTTTCGACCCTTACGCTGCCTAGTATGGAGCGCATGTTTGCAGCACGGGCAAACTACGACTTACGCCGCCCCTTGCAGGGAACAGAAACCCTTTTGTCTGCACTAGCAGATGGTTTCACTCGAGGATCTCCTTCGACACTACTGTCGGCCCTTGAGTGTCTAAAACTGCGCAAGTCTCACCGTACTGCCATCAACAACACGTTACTCAAAACGCGCTCGGAGAACTTGCTCTACGGCCTGATTGTAGCATCTGGTAAGCTTGTGTCGGTAGTACGACCCAAAAAGCATAGTCTGCACCCAGGTGATCTTCATCTCATCTTCAACATGCTGTTTGAAGCCGGCAGCGTCAAGGCTGGCGGGGGTGAAAATTGGATTCCGCTCTGCTTGCCTGGCTTCAACAACACAGGCTATCTGTACATGTATGTCAGCTTCCTGAATCTAGAAGACCCGACGGAGCATATGCAGGAGCGGCCTCGCACGAGCGACGGCGCGGACGATGAAGTCGCGGTCCTTTTGATTAGCGCGGACAAGGAGAGCTTCTTTGAGCTCCGACGCATGAGGGATGATTTAATCGAGGTACGTGTTGATAAACTTTCTAGCCCTATGCCTTTGTCCGGTTTTTTTCGCCTGGAAATGTGTTTGCAAAATCCCCTTATTTTCTGATTTCCAGATGGGCAAGGGCTCCGGACCAGGCAGGGTTCTTGTCGAGACGCGTGGATTGCTGGTCAAGTGCCCGCCCGTTTTCCATGGATCGCAAATAATCTGGTCGAATGATGTGGAGCGGGGAAATTGCCGTATCCTGTCATCATGGATTGTCCATGGATTACCGTCCCGTGTGAGGCAAAACGGCTGCATATGCACAAAAAAAGAGGACGACATGACAGGACTTACGATAGTGCAGTTTTTCGGCTTCGGAGACTGCGTTCCCCGACACCGCCTCTCCTCAAGACACCGACCTGAGCTCTCCGGGGTGGTGATTGCATTTCGGACCCGACCACAACATCGCTCACCTCCCTTTTCCTTTGATCGGCCCTGTCCAGAAAATTTACCATGTTATTAGTATTCACGCATGGCCACCCTCATCTGCCTGCATCTCTCTCTCTATTTTTTAATCTATATCGACATGATAAACGGAAGGATATAGAAGAAGCATACGCGCTAACGGGTGGTTCCGCAGAACTTGCAGCGCATCGGGGCTATCGACGCGATACGCAGCGCGGTCCACCAAGGCCGGCCCACATGCACTGACATTGTCCCCGGCAGCCCACTAAGACACTTTCTGTACAAGTCGAGGGGAAACGTCCAATTTACCATGCCGAGCTATGCTCCATACTTTGCTGCAGATTTGGAGAAACGACGGTACGTTAAGCTGCATTCCTTATTCCAAAAAGCCACATTGATCACCGCCTCTTTTTTGTTGCTTAGCAATCTTTCGATTGTCAGCCTTGCGTTTTTCTTGGCAACCAAAGTGCATGTGGTCGTTGAGATCGCGGGGCTGATTCTACCTTGTCCCATGCAAATCTCCCATTTCCTTCTTCAGCATCGAATCTCACTGCATCTTGAATGGTTTTTTTGCTGACCAGAGCGGGGTTGTTTGTGTGTACATGTGTTAACGTTGGATATTACAGACTAATCAACCTCTACAACAAACTCCACAGCAATGTCCATGGTAAACCGTCGACGCTAAAAGTGCACCACGAAACTAACACAACGTGTATGGCGCTCGCATGGAGCACACCGCTGTTTGAGCTATACGCTGTTGCGCCTGCGAATACGTCGAGGGCCGCGCTGGCGCAGAGCGCGAATAAGATCATCCAATGGGTACGAAGAGAGGAAGAAAGAGTGTTTATTATTGGCGGTGCGGTCTTTTAGACTGACTGCTGTTGTCGTTGCATGAATTTGGCGAGTACGTAGTCGTGTCAAGTTTTTGTGGACAATATACACATGGAGTATGTACAGCCGCATCAACATACTAAATATGCAACATGCACGATACGAATTAATTTATGTTGGGATTTGCTTGTAGTAGACTGTATATAAGTCAAGGACTAGGGTGTGGGGTATGGGGGGTGAAGAAGAAGATATATTGTTCTACATGAAGATGCATGCATGGACACGGACACGGACACTTGCAAATCAATTTAGACACTACCCTTTGGTAAAGCACCCGCAGCCTTCATCTGCTCAAACACATCCTTCAAGCTACCCCATGTGTCTCTGTACCCCATCCAGCCGTATTCACGCGCCTTGCTCATGCTAATCACGAGATCAAAGTTCCTGCCGAGCACAAAGCCCAGGAAAGCCCACGTTGCCTTGTCAAAAGCGTCCCTGTCCAAGCCCTCGCGGTCTGCAAGTGCATTCCACGCTTGCTTGACATCGTCGCGCTTGGACCACTTTACAAGATCAATGTGCTGCTCCACGTGGCTGGGCTCTAGCACCGGCGTGCCCTGCAAACCCCTCTCATCCGCGACTGCAGAAATGGGTGGTTGGGGGGCCATCTCCCTCGTCGAAGACTGACTCTCCGTTCCCACAACCATATCTTTGATCCTACCGCTTATACTCGTTGCACTGCTACCGCCGTACACACTCTTGAACTGGTCTGGTTTGACGGTAGTACCAAAGTACTGTGCAACTCTTGGCCAGAGATTTTGATAACTCTCAACGTCACCGTTTGTTATGTTGAAGGCTTGATTGGCGGTACGCGGGTCCAGCGCTGCCCATGCGCAGAACTCGGCGTGGAGTTTTGCGCTAGTAAAGCAGTTGAATTTCGTGTAGAAGGCAGGGGAGCCGGGGAACTCGATGCCACTATTGCCAGACATTTCCCTGGAGACGAGCACGTAGAGAGCCAGGGCTGCAGAGAGGTTCATAAAGTTTCCTGATGCGAAGCCGATGACGTCGTTGGGGTACGTTACTACCCATTCTTTGTTGTGCTTGGTGCAAAACTCGTGCAGGATGTTTTGCTGGTTGTAGTAGAAGTTTGGCGGCCATTTGGATGAAGTAAGCCAGGGTGCGTCTTCTTGCATGGGCTGCTGGGGCACGCCAAGGTGGACGCCGTATTGTTTTGCGCCGCAGACGAGGATGATTCGCTTGACTTGCGATATGGCGCCAGTTTTCTCTAGAGCACAAAAGAAGTTGGAGAGCATTCGGCCATTGACTTCCCATGCATCTTCTTCTTTATCCTGGGCGAGGTAAGCGGCGAAGAATATATACTCTCCGCGCACGTTCTTGAGGTCATTGGCCATGGCGTCTGGATCAGATTGCAGGTCAATGTGGTTGTGGATTACGGTATCAGGGTAGTCTTCTTTATTGCTCCGCGAAAGTGCGTGTATGGTGGGCCATTGTGAGCGGTGTTGACTGAGTTCGAAGACGATCTCGCGACCGAGGATGCCTGTGGTATGTTAATACATGCTGGCCATACTCTGACCAAGACGTACCAGTGGCGCCGGTGACTATCGCTGAAGGCATTGTATCGTTCAGACGGTGGTTTTGTATCTATTGTGAACTGGAAAGCTCAATGGTAGTATAACAAAAAAGGTGTCAAGACATCCATGACGTAATGATGCTTTCAGATATAGGTATGTCACGACTCCGCAATCACGTAATCAAGTCACTATTTGGAGGTGTGTACGTATGTAGTAGGAGAATACCGCTCAGCACTGCTCTACACAGTATTGAGATGTTTGCACTAATCACATTATGCATTGCATATATAGTAATGGGACATAGACATCAGCTACGATCAATACCTGGCATAGTTGATACATTTAAACGGCCAAGGCCAAAAAGTGTATTTGGACGTCACACCATGGACGGTACCAGTGCGGACTGGGCATTTTCATGCTCAAGTGCCAGACTACAATAATCCCAACTATAGTACAATCGATTTATGTCTTCATCTATCCAAAAATAACGTAATGTTCTTGTTTCCCTATGTGAGGAGGAGAAGATGCGAATCAGTTTTGTGGAGCAAAGGTCTAGGGATCAGCACTATGTCTTTCCGCATTACTAGATTATCGATGGCGACATCTTGCGACCACGCTCTTCGAAGTGCTTTGCTAGACCGTGGCATGAGAGGCATTGATGTCTCTGAATATACCAGCATTTGGTTGGTTGGCTGCAGATTGTCTGACAGATTGCCGGTCGGTTAACAGCGTGGCTTAGCCTGACAGCTGTCACATGCCTGACAAACTAGAGGGGGTGGCGGAAAGCGACCGGAATTCGGAACGGTGTTCACTTAGGAGGGCGTTTCTGCCAAGTGAGCTCACGGAACTGATTCTTTACTTCGTCTTTGAAATGGTCAAAGGACGAGGGGCCCGTCCCTGAAGCGCAGTCAGTGGGTGGTTTTCTTGTAGTGATGAGGCCGGCATACTGCCGCCGCCATTCTTTTGCTCAAAGTCTGGCAGCCTGTTGATCTTGCGATATGCCTTTTGCACAGCTCGGTTGAAGGTGGGCGACCGAATCAGCTGTGACAAGTCAGTCATCCGGACAATATGGGGTTAAAGGGGACATGGACGCACACGTGCGACGGCCCAGGCCTGTACCAAGGTGTTAGTTTGATATCTTGGGCTCCTTTGCGACTCTGCACGTACCTCGAAGAGAGCAAACCAGGGGCCCATGGGCGAGTCAGTAGTGCATTTACAGTTTGATGACTGGTGATGCGATGGGCTGGTAGGGATGCGCAGATGATGGGGTTGGGATGAAAGGAGTGATGATGGCGGTGGTGGTGGGTGGGCGAGGAGTAGAAAGATTGGGTGGGGGCAACTTGGAGTGTTGGTAGAGGAATAGCGGGCAGCCATGTGCGCATACTACTTACTACATCCAACGCGACCAGCGACCGCGCCTGGCGTGTTTGCAGGGGGGAAGGAGGGGCTTCAGGCGGGAGCTTGTTTTTTTCTCATTGCTGCGTTGTCATTCCATCTCACAGTCGGGCTACCTTGGCCTTGCGCGTTCGCATTAATCCTGTCTATTTCCCCCTTCGACGGCGGGACATTTGCCATTAATACACAGCCGTTTCCCATTTGCCCATTTGCCTGCCCACCCTTCTAGAAGGCCAAGCGACAACGCTACGGCCTGCCTGCGATCCGCCATCTGCTCGCCCCGACTGCGAGGCCGCCTGCAGCCCCTCCATTGTCCCGAAGGTCGCTGAAGCCCGTCTTTGGGAGACGGGCTGCCTTTTGCTTTGGCCTGGTCCATGATAAGCTCGCTGACGCGGCACTGCGACTGAGAGTGTGATTGCAACCGCCATCAAGGACCAGAAAGATAAGAAAAGACACAGACAAGAGACGCGCAGACGGGGACCGAGACAGAGCAGAGCAGTAAATGCATCGTGGTGAAGCCTCATTTTGCCCGCTGCCTCCACTTGCAACCTCGCATCCCCCCTATCGCTAATTTCGAGACGCGGCAAAGCGCCCTGAGGCCCATCGTTCCGGCCTCTGGCGCGCCACAGCCTGCACCCGCCCGCACTTCCGCCACTTGGTGTACACAAATACATAGTACTCTGCTCTTCCCCCCACTAACCGCCTCCAACCCGCCCGCATACACGGACGCGGATCTCTTCAAGCTGCATAAACTTCGCGCCCTCCGGCGCAAGGCAAAGCTCAAGGGCGTCCTCATCAGGACCGACCCAGCCATGGCCAGCCCCGACGACCCCATCTCGCCCACGGCCTCGTCCAAGCGCTCGCGCAGCAAGGACAGTCTCCGCTCCCTCACCACCTCGTCGCTCAATACGCCCGCTGCCAGTACCCCCGCCGCCAGCACCCACAGCCTCGCCAACCCCCTCTCTGCCCCCGGCACGCCTACACCAGCCGAAAATGCGAGCATCCCATATCCCGCTTTCCTCGGCTCCGCCAGAGACGTCAATGCCAAGTGGAATCGCCTCGAAACGGCCCAGAACGACCGCCTTCGCGATACCTCACATCCGCCCGATTCAGAGGAGCCGCCCAAGTGGGCACGCTGCGGCGGCGAGGAGTACGCCTTCCGCAACCGCTACGCCAATGTCGACCCATACCAGTCCAACAGAATCCATCTCGCCGTCCCTGAGGGCCACTTTGACTACATCAACGCCTCGCCCATAGACCTTGTGACGACCAAGTCCCAAACACCCCTCAAGTACATCGCAACCCAGGGACCCAAGGCCGAGACCTGGTCGCACATCTGGCGCATGGTCTGGAAGGAGAATGATTCGCCCGCCGTCATCGTCATGCTTACCCAGACGTTTGAGGCCTACCGGGAAAAGTGCTACCCCTACTATCCCCAGTCGCCCTCGAACCCCGACCTGCGTGTCAACGAGGATGACGAATTCCAAGACGGTCTCATCCACAATCTTCACCTGGCGTCATATACCATTGATGATGAAGCGCGCACTCAGGTCCGGGAGATCGACATGACGACTGATGATGAATCTGAGTCCAAGAAGGTCTGGCATCTGCTCTTTGCCGGCTGGCCGGACTTCTCCGTGCCAGAAGGAGACGACCGCTCCGCTATGCTGAAACTGGTCGAGATTTCCCGTCTGAAGAACTCTGATAATGCTACCAACCCGCGGATTGTGCATTGTAGTGCAGGCATTGGTCGCAGCGGAACTTTTATCGCCCTCGACTGGCTGACGCAGGAGCTCCAAGAAGGTTCACTAGACGACGTACCCGAGACCGAGGACCCCGTTGTCAAGATAGTCGAGATGCTCAGGGACCAGCGCGCCGGTATGGTACAGTCTAAGGTGCAGTTTCAATTCATCTACGATGTCCTTCGCGAACAATGGCGAGAGAGGTGGATTGCCCAGAACCCTGCTCAGGCAAGCCAATTAGGCCTTGTCAGCACCGACAACACGCCCGATAGTGAGCCCGCACTGAAGCGTGTAAAGTCGGTGCACTACGGTGAAGACGAACAGACCCCACCATCTGCATCTTCGCCTTTGAGCAGTAGTGGTGCATCCGACTCGCCAGATGCTCGCGCCCAACTTGAAGCTGAGCTCCAGGACGCAGACATGGAGTATGAAAATGGCAAGACTTAGTCGATTTTGCAGCTTCTGAAGGAACCACGCCCCGGACGTGAGAGCAGATGTCGAAGCACAGAGGGATTCCCCTTCTCCCCTTCCTTCCCTCGTTCTTCAAAGTCAATTGTCTTCCCTAGTACGCTCGTCCGCTTCACCTTCCTCTTACGATACAATACGTTCTTCAGGCTATGTTGTCTTATACGCGGTTTTTGCCTGTGTTTGCATCGTTGGTTTCATGTTTGTTTACTGGAATGAGCCTGATAGACTTTAATACTTTCTTTGTTGTTGTTTTCTCAGTCTGTTTTTGCTTTGAAGATGCATAGCCTTGCGGATATATACCCCTTGGGATGGGTTTGGGTGTCTTTGGGTAGTCAGTAGAGCGACGGGCACGGGAAAGAACCGAAGCAAACAAAGACCAGGCGGCGCTAGTTGTGTGTGTATTTGGTAACTCTAGACCTTGCTAGTTCGTTCTTTCCTCTCCTTCCCTTGTCCTTGTTTTCTTTTTGCATTGATCACAAGTCCATCCATGGTGCTTGACTAAGGGTTATATATTCCGAACTTTAACCATACATGACAAAGGTAAGACGCGTCACAAACACGTATCCCCTGCATTCCCCTCGTTTGGTTGCGCCCTTTTTGTTACAGCAAGCAAGTACGGCGTAATAATAGTCAGCCCATCGCTACTGTATGCACCTTGGAAACTCTCTCGTCGGTATTATTACCAGTCTGTGCTCCCCCCTTCCCCTGGGCTCCGCTGATGCATCAGGGGTTCGTTCGTTGGCGGTTGTCGTCTGGCAGATCGAGAGCATATCGGACTCGCTTCAGGGATTTTGTCGATCAACAATCCAGGGTGACTCCCCGTCGTTTGTGATTTGCTTACCTTTTGGCTTGCTTACTTAGCCCCCGGTTCGAGTCTTGCCCTTTATTTTTGGTGCATCCCCAAACTTGGGTAGCTTACCTACAGGGCGTGGATAAGGACGGACGGACACGGAGGAACGGACGGTCACTCACCCACCCATCAACGAGTGAACAAGACCAACGAAGACAAAGATGGAGCACACTTTCATCTACCCCAAATTCTAAATCCCCGTTCAGATCAAGTTTTTTTGCAAACCATCTCCATCCATCCATCCAATATACGCTCTCTTTCTCTGCGTTATCCCCTTTCTCCTTTGCAAGCCCAGTCGAGCACTCCCCCATGCAGCATACACACATACACATTAAAAACATACCTTCCAAGAAATTTATATTACCAATACCCCCCATCAACACCCCTAATCCCCTTCCCCCCGTAATTTTCCCCCAAATAACAAACTCCCCCAAACAAGGCAAAGCCTGAAATGAAAAAAATTCTTTTCTCCCAAGAAAAAAACTTGACACACCAGTGGAAACAGCCCATGACTTGCATTTCCAGCCGGCGTTATGTTACCGATACCACACATACACACACATCCCTCCCATGATTACAAACTAACGAGCATTAGAGCCGGCGTAAATGATTCCGGTGTTAGACCGCGATTAGTCCGGTAACATGGGGTTTGTGCGTTACTTCTCGAGCGAGCGGGTAGCCCGCCTCGTCTCTCGCCTCGCCTCAGACAAAAAAAGGGCGATACCATTGCTGACAAAAGGGGGGGGGAAAGAAAGGTGAAGGGAAAGGGCTGCATGACTTGGGTGGGATGGGGTTTTGGGCATGGGTGCAAGGCCGTTTTGAGAAAGTGTTGGGGAGGGGGATGTGGGTTGGTTGTGGGAAAGGGAAATGATCGAAGGGGAAGAAGGGGGGGCTTGTGCGCCTTTGTGTGTGTGTGTGTGCGTGTGTGCGTGTGTGTGTGGGGAGGAAGGGGCGGAGGTGGAGGTGAAGGGTGGGTAAGGAGGGAAAGGGATGGTGGTTTGTATTTTATTTTCCTATTATACTGAACTTTGGATGTGAGTGTGCTTGTGCATACTGGGGGTATACGATGGGGTATCGGTATCGGTGTCTTTCTCAAGGGAGAAGGGAGAAAGGGGGTGGATGATGCCGATGCGACATGCAAGGTTTCCCCAACTCAACAACACAGTAAACCTCTCATGTGTGAAGAAGTTGCGCAAGTGTAGTATACATGGTACATGTCGTCGCTGCTTTGTTGGGAATCACGTTTCGGCAGTTAAACTGTCTACTTGCGTAGTTATGTCCGTTGCGTGAGGGAAAAAAGGGCGCAAAGCGAATGGACAGCGAAACGGTGTGTTTTGCATTACGCAGTGTGCACATGTGGAGAAGTGTCCTGCGGCGTGCGCTGCGTGTACATACTATGTGGTATGATGTCTACATACGTCCTGTGTTACGAATGTGCTGACTACGAGGTGTGTAAGGCGCCGAGGTATGGGTAGGGATCGGTTCTTGCCGTAACAACATCCGAGAGAGTAGTAAAGGAGCGGTGGAGATGCGAGATCATGTGTAGGGTTACGTGGAGAGATGGTCTAGTAGTAAGTACTAGCTGCAGGCAAGTTCCGTAAGATCGGGTACTACTAGCGGTGGTGCATGTGTTTTGGTGCAGACGGGGGGAGTTGGGCAGGTAGGGTATGTTCGTACGAGGTTTTCTACCTATTGCTTACTATTTCGTTTTTCTCGCCCGCAAACTCTGAAAGATATTGACGAGTAGAGAGGGTTTGAGGGGGATGACGGGAGTCCAACCTTGTCGTTCCTCTCCGCAATCCCTTCTTTCCATGCGTACCTACTCCAAGTCGTTGGCGCAATATAGTAGGGCGGAAATCGAGATGCTATATTCTTTTCGTACGGTGTGTAAAACGTTTTCTTTACGAATACAATACTTAACTCTTCTCCCTCATTTCTTTCTTCGAACGCAATTCAAACACTCGTCATACAGTCATTCATCAACTAACCATTTCATCATCTCCCAGTCAACCCTTTCGCATCCCAACCACACTCCCCCCTCCTCGCTAATCGCTAAGCTGGGGGCGAAGAGGCGCAGTCAGGGCCTTCTCTCTTAGCTCTCCCTGGGTGCTGGTGCGTGCGTTGCGATCCGAGACTGGGGTCTGGGGTGAAAGGCGTGGAGCGTCTGGGGGGGGGAAGAGGCTGGGGAGATGAGGCGTGGAAACGGCAATGTAAGCTTACACATGCATACATATCGTATTGTTCCCTTTCCTGGGGTATGGATTCTTTTCGGTCTTGGTCATCACAGTGCTGTGTTCGTGCGTTGCAGGGCTGATAAGGACGTTTTCTTGTGTTATTTTTGGGGGGAAAGAAGAGGATTGGTTGATTGAGAGTTTGGAGGAGGAGGGGGTCTTGATAGTTTGGTAAGTTTGGGTATTGGGATACCCACAAGGGCCCTTGTTTCTTTCTCTTTTGAGTTAGACATGGTTGTTCGTATTGCCGGGGATCCAATCGTCCCGCATTACACTACGTACATGGAGTTTTCTTGCAGATTCGATCTCTGTGCTGCTTATCTGGCTTCAATTTCCCGACTATGCAAATCACAAGGTCATGGACATTGTGCTAGACGCGAAATAGGGCTGATTTACCCCCGATCAACCGATTTCGATCCATGTAGATTGTAAATTGATGAGCATGTCTGTGTTGTCTAGTCTAGCTGCGACGCTGCAAATTTGGCCCTGTATCGACGATCCTACTGCGTATGCCAAAGACCCAAAACGCCTCGAGCGTGTCCACGACATCATCTTTTCGGGCCTCTCCCCTTTTTCTTATATCGTTTGCTTCCCAACTTCGAAATACGCCTGATATCCCACGAGCCAAGTCGTGTACGTTACGCGTCTCTCTGATATGCATTCTACGTAGGGTTTGCTAAACTGTATACATAGATACGCTCGTACAAGTCACATGACATGTCACTGTCCGAGGTAAGTACACTACACACAAAGTACGCATGCATGTAGATCAGTAACCAATATTTGCTTTTTTATTTACTATTCATTTCATTTAAGAAGGCGTGATTCGGCGCAATTCTGCCCGAGGCTATGGCCTTCGGGAACGCGATACAGTCAGAACTTTGGCATTATTGTAAGTAGAAGCGTAAAAGAAAGTCCGAGTTGCAGACACCAGACTAGCAGATAGATAGTGGTATGGGGTGATTCGGATAATTCCGCCTCGCATGACTGAGGCAGAAGAATTTGAATGGGGTAAGCGAGGCTTGACTCAAGAAAAAAGAAAGGGCTTGTTATAGTTGTCGTATGTCCGAGTGCTGCAATCGGGTCCGAAATTCGGCAATAAGAGAGAAAGATTTAGCGAGATACCTTACTAAGCCAGATTATTCTTGCAAAATGCAAAAGCACTGTGCTGCACACAGTACATGTGAGTGTAAGGAAGACGACTTGTGATGCTAAATATGGTGAAAGCAGCTCATCACAAAAGGTCCACAACCGATGTAATACTAGATATTTTCCCATTTGCATAGCTTTAAACATGTTGACGGACCGATTATCGGGGTCCGAGCACGTGTATCTAAAGCACACTAGAAACGTCAGTGAGTCTCAAATTCAGTAGCACGGCAGTTGAGTAACTGCCAGTGTTGATTTCCTGGTGCAATGCAGCCGACATCATTGACCTGCATCTGAGCGAGGTTCCTGATATGCAACGTTGTTGCATTCTCAAACCAGTGTCATTGCCACGGGCGTTTGTTTCGAAGATCGCGGATTTGTGATTTGCCGCGGCTAAGTAATCCGGTGTGAGTTGCGAGTTGATGATCGCTGCTGGGTGTTCTAAAGACGATGAACATAGATCCTACCCGATAGAGAATGTACAGCCTTGCAATGATGCCCCAAAGTTACAAAACGGGCCTCGCAATTGAGGCCATTTTGGACCAATATTGAGCGCACGCTGACGTTGCTGACTGTACTAAGGCCGCGGAGGGTGGGGCAGAGCGCATCGTGTGCAAATCTTCGCCTTGCGCCTTAGGTCAACGCATCACTAGAAAAGGTTGTGTTAGGAGCAACTGGGTTTGGGACTTGGGTTGCCATGTTGAGGCAGTGCTGCAGGTTCGGAACTGCCTAGCGCATATTTGCGGTGTAGTGTACACAGTAAAGTCGTGACCGAGCGTGCACACTGTCTATCCTGCAGTCAGCTTAACTCTGAGGCTGTACCACTATACTGGAGCGAGCAATGCGGCCTTATAGTTTTCGTATTGTGACCATTTCGATACAATCGTTAGTCTGGCCGGCCTCGGAGGTTGCACAAAGGTTACATTTCGTATCGCACTATCCGCTTCAGAGAGTTCTTCCTCCCACTAAAACGTAGGCACATCGCATCTTCTCAACCAGTGTTCCAGGCAACACAAACATCGAAACACGGGGACCATGTGTTAAGAGGTCATGTCCGTGATATCGACTTGCTGTGTTGGGATGTGGATCTGTGATTGCTGACAGGGTACATTTAGGGAAGCGACTTGAGGCACGCTAAAGCTTGTTGCAGCTTTCGCAGGGTTTACGAGAACCCTCAAGTAGTGCCTAGCGCACAGTCAAGCCGGCCAGTTTGCGCAGCGTTTTGGGCTTAGGGTTGTTGATATCAAGCCGTCGGGTAGGATCTCAGATATACGGATTGGCGGTCAGTTCGATCGTGTGTTATCTGCCATAGTCGGGCGACCTTCCCTGGAAGGTCAAAGGTCATGTGTGGGAACTAGTAGTAGGAGCGCTGAACAGAGGGTCGATTATGCTTGGGTAAAAATAACAACATGCGATGCTTTGAACAAACCCAATATGAAAACTACGTTTAGACTAGACCTACCGAGGCAGCCTTTGAAATTAGGCAGAAGAAAAAAAGCAACCGTTGTGCTTATGAGCGAAAAAAATGGGCATCAGAGCGTTCAAGGAAAAGCGGGATACGTACCAGTGAAGAGATTTGGTCCGTGCCCGCCCCCATCTCGGACGAGTGTCCAAGTATCGGACCCCGAGTGAAGAGGAGGCCGGACTATTGTGTTGCACAGAAACCCGAAAACACTGTACTTGGAAGGCGACCTCGGCGATAATTCAGTTTTCGGTGCTGATTGGATTCCTGACTATTCGTGCCCCCTGGTTGGTGCTTGCAAGGAGGGTTGGAAACAAGGCACGTTTGGTATTGAGTTGATTGAGTGTTACGAGCGGTGCTGGGGTAGATGACAGGTGATGACAGGTACGAGCGGCGGTGTGCTACGTAGTTAACCCAACGCACTGCAATGTCGTGGCCGATGTTGCACGATTATCAAAGCGGATCATGATGAAAAGGCGCATTCTAGCAGTCTAGACCATCTCTTTAACAATAGGCAGGGGTCCTATTCATGTATCCGCAAATGGAACCGGTATGCTGGCGCTCGGAGCTGGGGTTCGCCATCCGCAAGTGGATGTGCTGCAACACGGGAGGATCATGATCAGCATCAAGTCCTTCACGGTCGAGTCACGGATACTATCATGACCATGACCTAGAATATGCGTTTGGTAGTATACGAGAGCAACGCATATTGCAAATGCCGGGTGTCAACAGAAGCAGATGCACCAGGGTGAAAGGTGTTTTTACGGGTGCCTTGATCACTATCCAAAGTTTACTTACTGAGCAAGCAGCATCTGAGCCAACTGATCCTTCATAGTGGTGCTTGCGCTTTGTTGTCGGCAGTTGAAAAGAAAGTTGTTTTCGCATTGGATTGATGTGTCAGACTCATGATGGCTCCACCTTGAAATCATGAGCCGTTACTGATCTTCTGCTGAGGATTTTGATTAGATGCTGAGAACAATGTCGCCACTGTGCACTAAGACGCGGTCTGACGTGGGTGGGTGCGGGCACAATGCATAACTAGCTGTCGAAGCTTTTTCAGCCTTACAAATTAGGGTGGGTCCCTGTGGAAACTGCTCCATGGGCTTGACTCATTGCAGTTCCCGTCCACGTCTCAATTGAGTGCAGGCTCCTTACGAAGGTTTGTGTGGTCTCATGACATGCTTGCTCAGAATACGCAAGGTTTCAATCTCCCGAGCCTAGGAAACCCAAACAGCCTCGAGCTAGCCAGCTCTGTTATGTACTATATGCGATACTTGCTCTGGTTGACATCATTTCGTGTCTATACGCCTCTTGTAAATATGTGCACGGATGGCAGCCAAGGAATCTATGGTGATGCAAACGGACCAGAAAGTCTAGACTTCGACTCAGGATGAGAAAGCCAAGGTTGAATCAGTCTGCGTTCGAAAGTACATGCTTTAGTGGATGGGCCAATTGAGCGGCAAGTTCTTGGCCGGAAGGCTGAGTGTCCGGTGCCGAGCAACACAAGAAAGTGCAAATGCCGCCAATGTTGTCCGCAGCGGAGAGTGCAACTTGGACCCAGGATGACAAGACTTGGCATTGCCGGACTTTTTCGATGGTGCCATATTCTTACACGTAGCCTTGGGGCTTAGGATATCAAGAGGACCGGGCCGTTGGCGTTCGTTGCCTTGAGACGGCAACGGTCGAGTGCGTAACCTGTCGCTCGCTAGCCTTGAGCAAGTAGACACCTCAAACCTCTCTAGCCATTGCCTTGGCTCCTCATGTTTTTCGAGACCCATATTTTGTGAGCCATACATTGTGAGGCGGAGCTTGAGGCTGCTGGTACAGTGCGACAATAGCAGCAGGTTGTTTTAGTACTACTGCGGAGGCAACGATCTAACCCTGGAATCAAGAGAAAGAGAGATTTGCCTTGGAGCCAAGCCTCGAGTCATGTGCAGATGGCTCGGCGATTGCCGTATGTACTACATGGTATTGTATTTACTTGAACCAACTGCCTGCCCGTTTCTGCTTGTCGTCAAGCTCGGTTGGCCCGTACGCGCTTCAGTGTGCCGCCTTGCTAGGGCTGTTCAAGGCGGCTCGTGGCTTATATGACCTGTAAGAATAGGCCCACGAATTACTCAAGACCATGCCGAACCCAACCCAACCCAACCCGCCAAACAGCCTGACTGCGGGAAGAAAAGAGAAAGTTAAACATGCATCTCTAATATGCAGGCTGATAGTATCCATGGACGAAGGAGCTTGGCAAGACTTTAGTTCGAAGTTTGCTAGGTAATCGTATAGGGCGGGACCAGTGCAAAGTGCACAGGATGAGTAAGGCCGTTGAGGAGGGCTTGGTAATAAGTGACTATAGGCACCTAATGAGAGGATCGGCTTGGTACCCCTGTTACGACCGGGCTTAGTAAAGCCGCAAGGTTAGGCCGTAGTAAGCGAGAGCGGGTGTCGATCGTGA